CCTGCAAACTTGTCCTCCGCAAATATCGAACTTGCTGAGGAGATCTAATTGGTGGCAAGGCAAATTGTAATGAGGACTGGTCAAAACTGCATCAGGGCATCGATAGGTGAGCAGGGTGGTTAGATCAGTGGCAGATGCAGTTCAATGCATCTGTGAACAAAATAATGTGAATTAGTACATTTTCGTAGTAAGAATGACTGGAAAAAAACAGACTAACATTTTAAAAAGTGAGATTATAAATGGAGCCGAGCGACCTTGGTGTCCGGGCACAGTGGCTATTGAAGGTGGGAGCGCATCAAACCATAAAAAGGCCAACAGGACTTAGAATAGGGTAAACAGTAATAGATTTATTTCCACTGGTGAGAATCATGAACAAGAGGGAACAAATTCAACATACTTGTAAAAAAAATTTAAAGGGAGGTTATTGGATTGGAATTGGATAGTTCTTGAAGAAGTAACATAAAGGATATGCAAGTGAGCAAGCAGAAGATTAGGATAATTTGAAGTAAAATACCAGCAGTGTTAATGGGCCATATTGCATGTTTCTATACAGACATTTTCCTGGATTACAGGTGCACAGCACTCTCAAGTCACATAAAAAACTGGTTATATATGGAATAAAGCTCCCTCTACATTGTCCTATCCAACACTCTTAGGCCATACACAGCACAAGTTAACTACAGAGTAAATCTTCCTCTACACTGAGCTATTCAGCACTCCCAGGTCTCATACAGCACAATTTAGACTGAAAGTAAAGTTCCCTCTACACTATTTCATTCAGCACTCCCAAATCAAGTACAACAATGATTAAATACAAAGTAAAACTCACTCACTCAACCTTCCTTGCACACTTGCTACAAAGAAATGTTTCCTCTTAAATACTGAGTGAAAGTGACAATGAACTTGCTTGCAAATTAGAGCTGTTTAAGTCACAATCCAAATCCACTAGGACCTAGGCAAAAACCAAACACAAAACTCAACTCACACAGGATTTTACAGAGAATAGATTAGGGAGATGCTCAGTCTGGACTGGATTCAATCCCAGGTTTCAGGATGTCTTAATTATGTAATTAAAGTTGATATAAAGTAATAGCCAAGAGTTGCATTAATGAACTGTGTAAATGTCCCAGTATAAGCGGCAGATAGACAGCTCTCCTAATCACCGCTGAAGTGAAGAAGGTGTTAATTGCTTATATATTGTGACAAACTGTACTGTGCAGAGAGCTTCTCAGTTACTTCAGTTTTAGAATGACCCAGAGTGTGTTTGAATGGATATAGATCTGATTAAGAAAGTTTCCAGGGAAAATTAACAATGCTGTTTTTGTTTGTAGGTCGGTTGGGTGTCTGACACATGCGAAAATCGACATTGTGCTTAAGAGTATATAAACACCACAGCCTTGCATGCCATCTACACATGGAAAGTGGAATGCATGAAATTCTCTTGGGTTTAACCTGTGCTGTTTAACCTACCATCTTACTCAAGAATATGTGTGGAGATGTGACAAGCGTGTATCCAGTCTTTGCAACATTGGCTTTTTAATATAGCAGTGAGCAATATAATCTGATCAGTATGTTTCTCTTGGATCCCTTAGCCAGGCAAGAAAATCTGAGTCCTGCAAATTGGGCTAACATAGAACCACTTAAAGAGTCCAATGGAAAATGCAAAGAATTCTGTAGATGTGGGAGCACTGCAGAAAGCTGACGATCTGAATGTACGTTTCTTGTGTTACACCGTGTGAGCAGTGCATTGTGCAAAGTTCGCAGAGCACTCTGCTGTTCTATTGCTCTGAGAACACGCAGCGGGATTAGAGGTGTTGCAGGTAGTGGCTGCCGACCGGGAATGAAGTACAGATGAATTCTGCACTAGGTCCGTGCCAGAGACTGTAAAATGTGACATTCACAAACAGGAGGTTGTGATCGGGGGCCAGGATTTTGCTTTTCGGCTGTTTCTTGGCCGAGAAAAGAACTGGAATTGTCGTCAAAAGGTCAGAAAGTAGAATGCTCTGCTTCAGAACTGAGGAAAACCAACTCTCAAATTGAGACTGATTCCCCGATTCTGCACAATCTTAAATTTCGAGACTGAAGGTCTTGCATTGCTCAGACTAAGGTAGAATTCCGGGCCAGAGATTTAACCTGAGATTATAAGCATCATTGTAAATGTGACGTGCCAATTATTTGCGGATTCTTTGATGTATTAATGGCACGTTGACACAGATGTAAGCAGCGATGAGCACATTACGTTGTGTTGGTCAGTGGCAGGTTGATAAGGTGCCAAACAAACGCCAGTGAACTAACAGTATCTAGTTAGGCTGAGCTTGACTATAATGATGTACATTATACTCCTCATTGACATGATCTCCAAACAATGGCAGTGAACTGCAGATTTGTGCTCCTTTTACAATGCCATCTTCAGCAGAGATGTGCCTCTTTCCATTCATCATTGAGTTGTTTCCTCACTGACACCCCTTCATCTGCATGTCATGAAACTACACGGGTGAAATTGAAGCCTGTGATGTGTAATTAACACATTGTTGAAAAGTGGTACCAGTCGATGTTCTCATTTATCAAGTGGTCTATAGATTTAACCCTGACTCCCACACAAAGGTTGGGCTGAAGCCAGTCATGCTGCCTTTTGGACTTCATGCTCACAGACATGACAATTGTGAATAGCTCCAAGGAGACCAGTCCTGCGCAGATCCCCAAAGGATGGAAAATTGACAAATCTAATGTCATTCATTGAAACCATTCATTGAACCACTGGTTCAAGACATGCAGCTGAGAAAGAGAGAGAACCTGTATGAAACTAAGGTCACCATAATAATCATTGCATTGGATACCGTTGGAACATCTGAAAGCACTTCACAGGGATCACTGTCAAGTTTAGTGACTGTTTTCAGTCATTTTACACACAAGGTCCCACAAACAGCTGTGAGATTGACCAACTTAACTGGAGGATTGTTGGCCAGCACACATTTTTCCCTTCTGTACTGTGTGTGTGTATATAGTGCCTTTCATGTAGTACAACATCACAAAGAGCTTCATAAGGATTGTGTGGAGACATGAGCAATATGGAAATTACGAGGTAATAATAATAATCCTTGCATTTGATATAGCACCTTATCCCATCGTCGAGCTCAAAGAGCTTCACAAGATATACTGTAAAGTGTAGACACTGTGTATTTGGCAGGTGAAGTTGGGAAAAGTATCATCTCCTGTCTTATGGAAGCTTATTGTATCTCAGTGTGAGACTTGTACCTTTGGCTTCTGTATAGTTCTGGTGTAATTGAAATGTCTCATGTGAATTTTCATAACCTCGTGCTGCAGGTGGCTGAATGATCCTGTTTGATACGTAATGATGTGTTGTGTCACCTGTGCTTGTCTCTCCTGCTCCCGTCTGTGATCATATTTCCTACACGCGTGATTTCTTGGACCTGAAATTAATGGTGTGAAGCAACGAGTTTCTTTCAGTTCCTCAAAGGTCCTGAGAAGAGCTGCTGAGGTCAAGGAGGGCTTCTAGATTATTTACAAGTTGAATGAAACCAAGATTGTATAACATGAGACCAGCCTGTCTCTCTGATTCTCTCTCCGTCTCTCTTCATTTCTCTCTTTCTGAATCTCTCTCTGTCCTTGTGTTCTCTATTTCTCTGACTTTCTGTTTCTTTTTTTGTCTAGCGGGCTGTCTCTCCCTCTCTTTCCTCACCCCTCCCTCACCTCTTGAACAATCAGACACTATAAGCCTTTTCTGCTTAAGAGTAAGCAGGGAATCATGGTTAGCGATTGGATTGCTGCATGTGTGTAATCTATCACCTCTTGCACCCTTGGGAAGCCAGCAGGATGATGAAAGCCGAGCTGTTGCTGTTATGTTCCTAGCTCATGTTCCAAAGCAGATGAATCTTTGTCCTTCAGGTTGAACAAACTGATCACATGTTCAATGGACAACAAATTGACTGATTCCTTCCAAGATGCCCCCCCTGGTCTCTGAAGGAGACAATAATAATCCTCGCATTTGATATAGGGTCTTATCACATCTTTGAGACCTCTCAAAGTGCTTCACGGAATATACTGTATACTTTGTGGGCGAAATGCGGCAGCCAATTGCACATAGCAGTGTCCCACAAACAGTCGTGGTTTGGGTGACCAAATTATTATTATTTATTTATATATATATTTTTAAGGAATTATTACCCCGGAAGAGTGATCCGCCAATCGAATAACAACTGGATTCCTACTTACTCACACAGAGGATACAGTTCAAGATCCTGATCCTCACCGTCAAAGCCCTCCATGGCCTTGCTCCCCTCTATCTCTGCAACCTCCTAACCCCCTAACAACCTACCCGCTGCCTCCGCTCAGCGGGCTCCAGTCTGCTTCACTTCCCCCGCCTCGCCCACCCCACCATTAACGGGTGGGCATTCAGCCACTCTGCCCCCATCCTCTGGAACTCCATCATGCCTCGCCCCCTCCCTTGCCTCCATCAAGACCCATCTTTGCAAGCGAGAGACCCGAGTTCAATTCCAGGCAGGGCGAAACCTTGGACAAGTTTCCTTACTCCACACAGAGCCTAATAATAATAATCCCTCCAAAACCAAAAACAATAATAAATTGGGTCATTTTCAATCTATGACTGTTTGTGGGACATTGCTGTGCGCAACTGGCTGCCGCATTCGCCCACAAATATACAGTCAATTCACTTTACAGTGTGTTCTGTGAAGCGCTTTGGGAGGTCCTCCCGACATGAAAAGCGCTATACCAAATGCAAGGATTATTATTATTATTATTATTATCTCAAAACCCTCCTCTTCAACCGTGCCTTCGATTACCCTGCTTCCCCCCCTGCGCTCCACACTCCCCGACCCCGATCCCCAGCTCGGGTCTGAAACACTGATTGTCCAGTGCCTTGGGACATCCTCCCGATGTGAAAGGATCTATACAAATGTAATTTTGTTGTTGTTGTTACTGTGATAAACAGGCATGTGGAGTAAGGAAACTTGTCCAACAATTTGCCCTGCCAGGAATTGAACCCAGGTCTCTCACTTGGGAGGTGAGTGCTTTAACCACTAAGCTACAGGACTCCACTTGGTACAAATGTTGAAGACAATGGTCATTTTCAGGATAATAGGCATCACTATCATGGCTGGCCGAACCATACTCTTGAACAGAACTCTTTGAATGACAGAGATTCCTCACTTCCTGCTCCTCTGGCAGTTCCTGGAAGCAGTGGGTAGATCACTGCATTCTGTTTCATGGGCATCTCCTCGTACTTGGCACATGTCTGCCCGAGTCTCTCATTGCCAGCTCATACCCTTCCTTCCTTCAACATCTCCTTCCAACCTCACTCATTGTAAGTATGGCTACAGCAGTCTTTCCATCCCATGGGTGATCAATGATTTTTGAGCTCTCTCCTGTTTCTACAGCTGACATCCAAAACAGTGTGTAAACTGCTTCTCGGAGCCATTGCTACAGTCTACTCATGTCTGTCCCAATAATGACAGGATGCAGATACGAACAAATGACCCATTGGGTTGTGGCAATTCAATGAGGAAGTCATTAATTTGGTGCAATAACCAAAAGACTAAAATTCAATGAGCGTGAGGAATTTGGGATGTTTATTAACATGCACCACATATATTTTGTCACTAAACAGCATGACTATCACAATATAGTGGCCACAGCAAATGGAATTTCACTCATCTCTGTCTTTCTCTCGCTCTCTGACTGGATGTGTGTTTGTGAATTTCTTCCATCTGTCTTTCTCTGACTCGAACTATATGTGTGTTTGTTTGTGACTCTATTTGTTTGGCTTTCAAGGACCGTCTCAAGACCTTCCTCTTTGACCGTGCCTACGGACTTCTTCCCCCTCCCCCTTGCCTCCAATCCCGAATCCAAACTCCAAATCCAAACTTGGATGCAAAGTCTCAACTGTCCAGTGTCTTGGGACGTCCTCCCAAGTGAAAGGCACTGTATGAATGCAATATGTTGTTGTCTTTTTTTCTGTCTCGGTGTCTCTTTTTCACTCTCTCCCTTTCTGTCTGTTTCTTATCCCACATCTCTGTCCCAATGTATTACCAGGTTTTTTTGGGGGGAGGAAGGGTTCAAATCACACAGTCCATGTTACCAGATCTCTTTCAGGAAGAGCAATCGCACGTGCAACTGTCTCCTCTTATTATTCCAGGGAGCATTCGTCACTTTCCCTTTAGAAAAAGGCAACAAATGCACTCTTGTATTAAATCAAATGTGAAAAGTTTAGATGTTCTGACAATTTCTCTCAGTTACATTGAGAGGAAAGAAAAAAAGTACCAATGGCTTAAGGGATGCTATGAATCTAATGCCATAGACAGGGCTCATATGTACATGTTCATTTGGCTGGATCTTCTGTTTGCCTCAAATGATTCCAGGAAGGATGTTCTGTAATAACCAACGCATAATTAAGGCAGTGAATCATAGAATTTTACAGCACAGAAGGAGGCCATTTGGCCCATCGTATCTGTGAGAAAAGCTATCCAAATCAATCCCATTCTCCCTCTTTCTCCCCATGGCCCTGCAAACGTGTCCTCCCCAAATAACGATCTACTTCTCTCTACAAAGTTGTTATCGAATCGGCTTCCATCACCGTTTCAGCCAATGCATTCCAGATGCGAACAACTCACAGTGTGAAAAAAATTTATCCTCACCTCCCCTGTTTCTTTTAACGACTATTTTAAATCTGTGTCTTCAAGTTACCGACTCACCCGCCAGTGGAAATAGTTTGCCCTTGTTCACCCTGTTGAATCCCCCCAGTGCATGGTCATTCAGGAGTACACACACCAATGCATAGTTGCTCAAGAGTACACATACAATTACATGGCTGCTCTGTAAAGTTCCTTCCAAGATCATACTGTTCCAGTGTTGTGGAGACCACACACTCTCAGGCTCTAGCTCATCCAATTGTAATCATGGGGTTTAAAAAAAATAGAAGTTGTCTAATTAACTGATAGTCCGACCTGCATTTGAAATCTCAATCTCATTACTTCTGTCCTCTGGTCTTCAATGGGCTAACCCTTTGCTAATTCTGGTTGTCACTACCTAGCCCTAGCAGTGTCCATCCGGATCCAGTCCATTGTATGGCGACGTGTAAGGACATCACTGCAGTGTAATCTGCCCACGATTGCATCCTGCACTAATTACAGCAACAAAGCCCTTTACAATAAAGGACAGATTCTGAAGGATTAAGGGGCTGAGAATGACTCCAAATCAATGGTTTACAAAGGTTCATTGATGGATTGAGCAGTGGATATGCAGTGTGTGTTGGAGCACTGAGCTGAGCATGAGTGAGCTCATCTGTTCAATCCTGTATCAATTAGTAGAGTAATCAACTGTGCACACAATACCAGACCTCAAGTACTACTAGCCGTGGTGCAGTGTGGCGTGTTCATGCAGCATTCTGGTGCTCTGCACTCATGTAATATTCTGGAACTATGTACTAGTGTAGCATCCCGGTGCTGTGTAATATATAACATTAACTCGTGAAGTATAGATAGTACATAGCTGTATGTTAGTGTTATGTACTGGTGTCGTATTCTTCTGCTGTATGTTAATGCTGGATGATGGTGTAGTATTAAATGGTTACCTGGCCTCCTTGCTCTTTATGAGATATTTTTGGGTCAGATTTAGCTGTTGGGTTCGCCTAGATAACAACATTCATTTCTAATTCATATCAATTCATAAAATGGTTCAGGGCATTTTTTCCAAAAAAACGTGACAAGCATTGAATAAACATGAGTTGTTGTTGAATTCGATTTGGGTCAGCCGAGCTCAATTAGTGACACTCTTGCCTCTGGCTAAAGAGGGTGTGGGTTCAAGCTCTATGTCGGGATTTGAGCTCGTAATCTTGACTGCACACATGCACGCAACACAGACAAAATATAACGGGGTGTCTAAAAACGGGAGAGAAATGTATTTAGAGGTTTGGGTGGTGGAATGGGGGAGATGGAGAGGAAGTTAACCTGGGAGATGACTTGATGGACTTTATCTACTCTCTGTCTCAGGTCCACTCTGTTTCCTGACTTTCAACAGGAACTCCCAGAAAATTATATTTTAAGCAACAAAATAATTTGGTCTCTCACTCAATCCACTACTGTGTGTGGGAAACTGGTATGCACAATCGGCTGCTGCATTTCGCCCACAAAATACACAGTCACTCCACTTTACAATATACTCTGTGATGTGTCGTGAGACATCTCAACAATGTGATAAAGCACAATATCAAATGCAATGGATTATTATTACTATTATCCACATACCCCAGTGTCAGTGGCTTGGTTAGCATCGCGCCTCTGAGTTGGAAGGGGAGTCTAGTACAATGCAGAGAAACGTATAGAAAGAGACAGAACATTAGAGAATCAGATTCACAGATTACATTTTTGTCAATTTTCAACCCCGTAATTTTTCTCCCATTTTTGACACCAATTAGAGAAAAAAATCCAGGTTTTGTTTTGTGTTGGATGAAAAGCAACCTTGCTGGTCTTTGTACATTAAACACTCTTCTCCAGATCAAGGAGCATTAGTATTCCATTCATGCAGTTGGGAAGCCTGGGCTTGAAGTGTCAATCTGATGTAACTGGCCTTTGCTATTAACCTTGGCCTGGTTACCTCAGAGCTATCCTCAGAGCTGCTCATCTGTCACTGGTCTGGCTGTGAGCTCACTCTGCCTTACACTGCCCTTAGAGTGGGGCAGTGCAATAGCAACACTGGATGATTGCATTGAAAGTCTTTCTGTTAAAATGTCTTTTGTCAAAGAAGCTTTTCTCAACCCCTGATCTTCCAACGTGGGCAGTTTCCAACCCTTTCCACAACCCCTGCCACTCCCCCACTCCTACATACACAAGCTTTTTACTCCTTCACCCTCCCCAACAACTATGTGTGCACACATTCACACAATGAGATTACCCACATTCAGTCTGGTGGGTGTTTTTTCTCTCCCAAGCCCTCACCTCAGGGACAAGGGGAAATCTGAGCTCCACTACTGTCATCCCCATTAATCACAAAACCCAGTTGGTGAGACTGAATAATACCCACATCCTACATCAGCATCCTCTGAGAGGGAACCCAATACTTCAGCTTGTTTAACAGCGACCCTCCAGATCTGTGGCTATCGTTCAAAGTACAACAGTTGTTAAAATACAGCAACTCTGATCTACACCAGTTCAATATTCAGCACAAACTAAACACACACGTAAAGAGTTAAAGGCCATGTTTACTCCAACGAAAGCTGAATGATTTTTCGTTAGGAGGCACAAGCTTTATTAACTCGTACCTGTATAAATCAATGCTGCATCAAATCAACCTGCTGCAGAACGCCCAGAATATTATCTCCCTTGCTTTTCGCACTTAATTGGCTCCTAAATGGGCTAATATATTATTGAATCACATGGAGAACGGAAGAAGCCATCGAACAACAAATTAAGAGCAGGAGAAGGTGGGTGGCAGTTTGGCTCAGTCAGGAAGAGTTTCAGAAGGCTGTGGGTCAGAACTTCAGCACAAAATTTAGTCCGACACTACAGCCCAGTTATGGGAAGACTGCATTGTCAGCGGATCTATCCTTTGGTTGAGACATTAAATGACAGCACCATCTGCCTGCTCAGGTGGACATTAAAGATCCTCTTGAAAAAGAGAAAGGAGTCACTCCAAGTGTCCTCGCAAGCAATCCTCTAGGATTGTTCGTGGAAACTTCATGCTTGTTTGTGGAAACTTCCTGTTGTGTTTGTCTACAAATACACGCATTGTGATGTGTGACTGAGCTTGGGATCACACGCCGTGCTCTGATTACTAAACGTGCCCTTCTGAAAACAATTCCCTCTGTGTGACGGCAGCCTACATCATCCCCAGTGTTCGCTGTGCGGAGCCCATTGTAATAGAGAGAAGTGCAACCATCTTGGGATCCCAGAAGGTTTGGCTGATGAATGAAGAGGCAGTAATTTGTCACCAAGATTTGACAAGACAGACCAGATCTCACCCGTGCCTCTGGGTAACAAATTATACTCAAACTGACAGATACGACTGGGCTCAGATTTCTGCTGTGCTGGGTCCAGTCCTG